GAAGAGGGTGGGCCAAGAAAGAGGGTGTAGGGTAAGAAAGGGTAGGTAAGGAAAGAGGGTAGGTAAGAAAGGGGTAGGTAAGAAAGAGGGTAGGTGAGCAGAAAGAGGTAGGTAAGAAAGAGGTAGTAAGAAAGAGGTGGTAAGGAAGAGGGTAGGTAAGGAAGAGGGTAGGTAAGAAAGAGGGTAGGTAAGAAAGTGTGATCACCACTACCACTGTGACCACCATCACTACCACTGTGACCACCATCACTACCACTGTGACCACCATCACTACCACTGTGACCGCCACTATCATTACCACTGTGACCACCATCACTGCCACTGTGACCACCACCATCACTACCACTGTGACCGCCACCATCACTACCACTGTGACCACCACCATCACTACCACTGTGACCACCATCACTACCACTGTGACCGCCACCATCACTACCACTGTGACCATCACCACCACTGTGACCATCCACCTACCACTACATGTGACCACCACCATCCCCTAACCACTGTGACCGCCCCCCCATCACTACCACTGTGACCACCACCATCACTACCACTGTGACCACCATCACTACCACTGTGACCGACCATCACTACCACTGTGACCGCCACCACCACTACCACTGTGACCGCCACCACCACTACCACTGTGACCACCATCACTACCACTGTGACCGCCACCATCACTACCATGTGACCACCATCACACCACTGTGACCACACTACCATGTGACCGCCACCACCACTACCACTGTGACCGCCACCACCACTACCACTGTGACCACCATCACTACCACTGTGACCGCCACCACCACTACCACTGTGACCACCATCACTACCACTGTGACCGCCACCATCACTACCATTGTGACCACCATCACCACCACTGTGACCATCACTACCACTGTGACCGCCACCACCACTACCACTGTGACCGCCACCACCACTACCACTGTGACCACCATCACTACCACTGTGACCGCCACCACCACTACCACTGTGACCACCATCACTACCACTGTGACCGCCACCATCACTACCATTGTGACCACCATCACCACCACTGTGACCATCACTACCACTGTGACCGCCACCACCACTACCACTGTGACCGCCACCACCACTACCACTGTGACCACCATCACTACCACTGTGACCGCCACCACCACTACCACTGTGACCACCATCACTACCACTGTGACCGCCACCATCACTACCATTGTGACCACCATCACCACCACTGTGACCATCACTACCACTGTGACCGCCACACCATACCACTGTGACCGCCACCACCACTACCACTGTGACCACCATCACTACCACTGTGACCGCCACCACCACTACCACTGTGACCACCATCACTACCACTGTGACCGCCACCATCACTACCATTGTGACCACCATCACCACTACGTGACCATCACTACCACTGTGACCGCACCACCACTACCACTGTAGCCACCACCACTACCACTGTGACCACCATCACTACCACTGTGACCGCCACCACACACTACCACTGTGACCACCATCACTACCACTGTGACCGCCACCACCACTACCACTGTGACCACCATCACTACCACTGTGACCGCCACCACCCTACCACTGGTGACCTACACACACTGTGACCGCCACCACCATACCACATGTGACCACCATGCACTACACTGTGACCGCCACCACACTTTACACTGTGACCACACACTACCACTGTGACCGTAACACTAGTACAACTGTGACCATCATACCCTGTGACCACCTATCATACCACTGAGACCATCATCACTACACTGTGAACAGTCATACCACTGTGACCACACACTACCATGTGACCACACACCATCACTACACTGTGACCTACCATCATACCACTTGACCAACACCATACTACCATGTGACCACACAATACCACTGTGACCGCCACCATCACTACCACTGTGAATAAATTGGAAACCTCACACGAGGCTGTTGCTTTACCCAATGATAAATTATGACAAATGTGGTACTGATACATTGCATTATGACATGTAAGACATGCCACATTACATTATATCACATGTAAGACATGACACGTTACATTATATCACATGTAAGACATGACAAGTTACATTATATCCCATGTAAGACATGACACGTTACATTATATCCCATGTAAGACATGACACGTTACATTATATCACATGTAAGACATGACAAGTTAATTTATATCCCATGTAAGACATGAAGTTACAATTATCACATGTAAGACATGACACGTTACATTAAATCACATGTAAGATATGACAAGTTACATTATATCACATGTAAGACATGACACGTTACATTATATCCCATGTAAGACATGACACGTTACAATATATTACATGTAAGACATGACACGTTACATTATATCACATGTAAGATATGACAAGTTACATTATATCCCATGTAAGACATGACACGTTACATTATATCCCATGCAAGACATGGCACGTTACATTATATCACATGTAAGACATGACACGTTACATTATGACATGCGAGACGTGACATTATGGAAAATAATAATGATATAGTACTTATATATGCTTGTATTCCAGCTACGTAATATATATTTTTTGAACTGACATCCCTTCCAAACTAGAATTGCGTGACCCATACGTATTTAGAGTTTATGGTTAATACTCTGATGATGATAAGTAGGAAGAAGAAGAGAATTTAATATTCCCTGTCACACTGTTTACTCTGGTATTCTTCAAACCATCTGCCACTGTTGGCAAGAAATATCTCTTGGTATACATTCTACACTGCTTTTTTTTACAAGAATGGTATACAATACTGACAAGATGAAATTGAGACACATGTGCAACATCTGGGTATCTTTATTGTAGACGTTTCGCCATCCAGTGGCTTTTTCAATACAAATTCCAGGACATAACTTGAAGACAGGAGAACTATGTACAGAAGATGAGGTAATCAGTCCCTCAACCTAGCAGTAGGTGCGAAGAGCACCATAGTCGTGGAGATTCTGAAGCAGAAGCAAGGCGCCTGACGCTTATACAGTAACGTCAGGTGGAAATGGGACGGGCAGCAGACGAGGGCATAGTCACTGGTAGGCGGGATTCCCCAGTGGAAGTAGGTCCTACTCAAAGAGATGGGTTAGTTGTAGTAGTAGTTGTCGTAGTCGTGAAGATTATGTGCATGTCCTCAGAATCAAGATTCCATGATGTTGCAGTGTCTGACAGGTTGTACAAGAATGGTATACAATACCGACAAGATGAAATTGAGACACATGTGCAACATCTGGGTATCTTTAAAGATACCCAGATGTTGCACATGTGTCTCAATTTCATCACTGCTTTTTTTACATAAGAATTGAGGAGTGCAACAGACCTACTGGGCCATTCTAGGCAGGTCCTTCTCAAGCCTAATCTTTCACATATATTTGTCCAGCCTATTTTTTCAAGCTTCCCAATGCGCTAGGTTCCATCACTACTTGACAGATTGTTCTATTCGTTTACAACTCTATTTCCAAACCAGAACTTTTGTGTCTATTTTCCGAATCTCAATTTATCCATCTTGAATCTATTGTTAAACTATCTCTGGGTTAGATATTATCAGCTCCCTATTTATGACGTTTGACAAATGTTATGGTGATATTAGGAAGATGTGGATATGTCATCCTTCTCTGTATGTTCTCTAATTAATTTATATTCATTCTGTAATATAGAGACCAGAACTGAGGCTTAGGTTAAGTAAGGTTTGTCAGGAAACAGGACAAGTGTTTCCTGACGCGGGTGTTAGTTATATGATGACCCACAGCTGGAGCTTTTGGTCATCTGACCGAGGCCTTCCACTGGCTTACAAGTCCACCTCTTTAAAATTTGTGGTTGTGATTAGAACTGAAGCGCATGATCGAAGTGAGGCTTTAATAATGATGTATAGAGATGTAGATTTTACTTATCCTTCTTAGATTTTACTTATACTTCTTATTATATAAATCTAAGTACTAGTCTTTTAGCATTATTATACACAGTTAGGCACTGCTGTCTTTGTTTCAGATTTTTGCGTAAAATAACTCAAAAAAAATTTCTCACTTCTGATAGGCTTTCCCTCCATCATTGCTGATGCATCTTGTGGATGTGATATTATCTGATAAGTTTGAACTTAGTAGATGCCAGTTTCCAAATAAACTTGCGTTTGTTGGACCCTCAGCGATAACTATAGACCACCTGTAGTGTTAAAAATACTAACACACTAATAACAGTGGTTATAAATGACCATAATTTTTAAAGGGGTGGACCGGTGAACCAGCAGAAGGCCTCGGTCATATGACCAAAAGCTCCAAAGGCGGGTCATCATCTGACCAAGACCCGCGTCAGGAAACACATGTCCTGTTTCCTGATGAACCTGACCTAACCTAACGTGTAGTGTTGAGGCAGTCAGTCCCTCAGCCTGAAGAACAGTTCTTCCATAGCCTAATCAATATTTCAGGCTATGGAACAAGAACTAGAGAATACCTCTTCTGATGGGCTTCAAACCTTAAGCAATGACGAGTTTTGTTCATCGAGAGGTTTACATTGATTTTTAGGCTGTGTAGGTTTTAATTTTCAAATTTTATTAAACAATTTGGTTTCCACACAATAAGAAGTGTAATATATATATATATATATATATATATATATATATATATATATATATATATATATATATATATATATATATATATATATATATATATATATATATATATATATATTATATATATATATATATATATATATATATATATATATATATATATTATATAATATATACAGTGGACCCCCGGTTCGCGATGCTATCAGTATTCGATAAATCCGGTAACCGATGCATTATATCGCAGAAAATTTGCCTTGCTTCCCGATACAAAACCCGATATGCGATGTGGTTCGTAGGAGACGTGTCCATGTGTGGCCTGAACTGCCCGGTGTGTGCCAGTGTTTACAAGCCAGCCAGTGTGCGCGCATCTAAGGATACATTCGGTGCATTCCATATTATCCATATTATCACTGTTTTTGGTGCCTGTTTTTGCAAAATAAGTCACCATGGGCCCCAAGAAAGCTCCCAGTGCCAACCCTTCGAGACCAAGGGTGCTAATGACTGTTGAAATGAAGAAAGAGATAATTGCAAAGTACGAAAGTGGAGTGCGTGTGTAGGAGCTGGTCAGGTTGTATAGTGAACCCCAATCAACCATCTCTACTATAGTGAGCAAGAAAATGGCAATCAAGGAAGCTGTTCTTGCAAAAGGTGCAACTGTGATTACGAAACAGCAACCGGAAGTGTTAGAAAATGTTGAGAGACTGTTATTGGTGTGGATAAATGAAAAACAGATAGCAGGAGATAGCATCTCTCAAGCAATCATTTGTGAAAAGGCTAGGCAGTTGCATGACGATTTGGTAAAAAAATTGCCTGCAACTAGTGGTGGTGTGAGTGAATTTAAGGCCAGCAAAGGTTGGTTTGAAAGATTTAAGAATCGTAGTGGTATACATAGTGTGATTAGGCATGGTGAGGCTGCCAGTCCTAATGGCATTAAAAGAAGAAGGGAAGTAACCCCGGAAAAGGACTTGCTACCTCAAGTCCTAATGGAGGGGGATTCCCCTTCTAAATGCTAACACCATCCACACTCTCCCCTCCTCCCATCCCATCAATCATCACCAGATCTTCATTAAAGGTAAGTGTCAATTATTCTTTCGTTATTTATTGTTATTGTTGTTATTGTAATTACTATTCTATTGCATTAAACTTAATATTTCATGTGGTAAAAGTTTTTTTTTCATACTTTTGCTTGTCTTGCACGGATTGATTTGATTTCCATTATTTCTTATGGGGAAAATTGATTCGCTTTTCGATATTTTTGGTTTACGATGAGCTCTCAGGAACGGATTAGTATCGCCAACCGGGGGTATATATATATATATATATATATATATATATATATATATATATATATATATATATATATATATATATATATATATATATATATATATGTATGTATATATATATATATAATAAAATATATATATATATATATATATATATATATATATAATATTATATACATATATATATATATATATATATATATATATATATATATATATATATAATATATTTATATATATATAAGCAGACATACGTCTCACGGTATATATTTTCTGAGCTTTAATTTATATACTAAAGTGTATATTGAAGAATTTACGTGCTGTGATTTATATTACAATCTGTTACAATCAATGATTCATAATTCGTAAATATTTAATGTATAATTTTTGAGAGGTGGATGTTAGAGGTCGATTATAGGAAAAAGTAAGAGGCAGCTCAGGCGCCTCGGATCAAGAGCATCAATGTAATTTGAACTTTGTTATTCCATTTTATTAACGTATATGTACTCAACTGTGTGGTTGCAGGGGTCGAACTCTAGCTCCTGGTCCCGTCTCTTTAACCTGCCAGATTCACTCCCTCTTAGCCTAGTGGGGATCTATCGTACCTGTTCTTAAAACTTTGTATGAAGCCTGCTGCCTCCACTATTTCTTTGCCGAGGTTATTTCACCCCCCATGCGTGTGTGTTCTCACCTATTTGTGGTTGCAAGGGTCAAGTTACAGCTCTTGGCCCCCGCCTCTTTGCTGATCGCTGGGTGTGTGTGCACCACTAGGTCTTACTATAAAGATAAAACATTCCTGTAAAGTCACCTTCACACACTCCACCTACCATGTGTCGTAAAAATATAATTTCCTCTGTCTCTCACTCTCTCTCTCTCTCTCTCTCTCTCTCTCTCTCTCTCTCTCTCTCTCTCTCTCTCTCTCAGTATACACCTTTTCACCGGCTCCCTTCACTGGGGTTCCTTGATGCCTATGCAGGGCTCTTGATCCAAGACATTGCAGCTACCCTCCCCTTCCTCGGATCAGTCCTGATTGCCACCCTTTCTCCAGGTGCTATATAACCCTTAAAGTAATAGTTCTTTACTCCGAAAATAATAATAATAATAATAATAATAATAATAATAATAATAATAATAATAATAATAATAATCACGTCTGTCTCTTGTTCTATCTTTCCTGTTTATCATCGCTCTAAAAAAATCTTTGTTAAATTTAAAAAAAAAATCTATTTGTTTATCCCCAGTATTTCTTCCTTTGCTTCCTTTCAGTAAAACATTCAAGCAAAATAACTGTATTTTTAATACACAAATATTTCATCAGTATCATTAGATCAAAGGTATACACAACGATAAGTTGGTGAATAAGACACATGTGCGCCGTCTGTGTATCCTGGGAAGCCGTTTCGCCTGGAAAGCCGTTTTTTCACTCATGACACAGAGGCATGAGGATGCAGCTCCTCAGGGTGGGGACGGTAAAAGAGGTGGACAGGTGCAGCAGTGGTAGACGTGGTCATATGTGAGCGGGGGCCCACTAGTAGACGTAAGTCATGTGAGCTTGAGGTTAGCAACTGAGTTGAAGAATGAGACACTTGTTCAACATTTGGGAATCTTTATTGAGGAAATGTTTAGCCAGTGGCTTCATCAGTCCAGTGCAAAGAAGAACGGTGGAAATGAAGGAGGAGGAGTTTGAGGTAATCAGTCCCTTATCCTGGAATCGATGTGTTCAGTCCATCAATCTTGAAGAAAGTAATTTCGTACTTCAATGTTGATGGATTGAATACATCGATTCCAGGCTGAGGGACTGATTACATCAAAGACCTCGTCCATTTCCACCGTTCTTCTTTATACTGGACTGATGAAGCCACTGTGTGGCTAAACATTTCCTTAATAAAGATCCCCAAATGTTGCACATGTGTCTCATTCTTCAACTTGTCGGTTTTCTAAATCATTTATCACAGCAATAGAGTTGTTGCAGACATCATTCCCTGTCCTAGACTCCCTGGTGTTGTTGTCTTACACAAGTGTATAGTCACATCAAGAGGCGCCTGAGTGTCCCTATCACCTGATATCATATTTATTTTTCCCCTATAAACTACCTTGTACATAATTACTATTCCATTTGCGTTGTCTGTTTTCTTAAGCTGAATTCTAGGATCTTTCCTTAATTCTGAGCAAAACTCAGACCTCTGCAACACAATTGTCCTCAAATATTAGTTAAGTTATACCATAAACTAGCAAATTTCCTAGACTTCACATTGCGAAAGCAAACAAGGCAAATGTGACAGTAATTATAGACAAAATAAACGATATTAGGAAACAGGGAAACGCGTGTACATGATAAGGACACAGGTGCAACAGTTAGGTATCTTTATTGTTGAAACACTTTGCCTGCATAGTAGGCTTCTTTAGTCAAATACAAGAGGGAGCAGTAGTGATGAAATAAAGGTATGTAATCAGTCCATCAGCCTTGAGGTGGTCCGCTCCACAGCCATTTTCAACAATTTCTGCCATGTTTCTGTATTAAATTAAAAAAAAAATGGTGTCGGGGCGAAAAGTCTCATCATTGAAGAGAGCCTGGGTGGTGGTGGTGGGGGAGGGGGGTGCTGTGCAAGTGAAACGTCTCTTCAGTTAGATACCCAGGTGTTACACATGTGTCCCGTAGCTCGATTGGTAGCGTACTCAGCTCATACATTGAGGTCCGGGGATCGATCCCCGAAATGGGTGGAAACATTGGGACGTGTTTCCGTAAGATACCTGCTGTCCCTGTTCACCTAGCAGTAAAATAGGTATCTGGGTATTAGTCGACTGTTGTGGGTCGTATCTTGGTGACAAAATTTATCAAAATGCTCTGCAAAACAAGGGGATTTCTAAATAGTATGTCACTGATGTCAGCTATGTTCTGTATACCCTGTACACATACTTGAAGAAATAAAAATTATTATTATCAGCAGCATCAATGCAGCCGTCCAGGAAAGAGCCAGTGGCTTGAACACTTTACAAAAGATGGAGCCAAAACTTTAGACAATGTTTTTGCCCGTATTGAACCATTATCACGTGACTGGTCAGAGAAGACTCCCTCAACTGTCTCCCCTTTCATTCATTATATTCAGGTATATTACTTTTGTCTCTCTGAGCGCTACTTATTCCACATTCTTTTTTTCAACTTTCACCCTGAAATTTTAAGTTTTTTTACCAGCTGTGTGTGTGTGTGTGTGTGTGTGTGTGTGTGTGTGTGTGTGTGTGTGTGTGTGTGTGTGTGTGTGTGTGTGTGTGTGTGTGTGTATGTGTGTGTGTGTTTATGTGTGTGTGTGTGTATGTGTGTGTGTGTGTGTGTGTGTGTGTGTGTGTGTGTGTGTGTGTATACTCACCTAGTTGTAGTTACAGGGGTCAAGTCATAGCTCCTGGCCCCTCCTCTTCGCTGGCCTCTGTGTGTGTGTGTGTGTATACTCACCTACTTGTACTCACCTAGTTGTGGTTGCAGGAGTCGAGTCATAGCCCTTGGCCCCGCCTCTTCGCTGGCCTCTATGTGTGTGTGTGTGTGTGTGTGTGTGTGTGTGTGTGTGTGTGTGTGTGTGTGTGTGTGTGATTGTGGCACCCCCTCGGAGATGCGAGCCAAATATGACCACAAAAACCTAGTATCAGGAAATTCGTAGCAACTTCAGTACTGAGGGTGGTATCTATAGCCTCCCGCACCACCCCCACCTCTGCTTAGGCAGACAGGCAGGCAGACTGTACAAACAGGCAGGGAGGCAGACAAACAGACAGGCAGGCAGGGAAAGAGACAGACAAACAGGCGGACAGACAGGTAGGAAGGCAAGGAAGGGAGGTAAGCAAGTAGACTCTCGGAAAGAACAGACAACAGGTAGCAGATAGGCAGACTGACAGGCAGGTAGGCAGACTGACAGGCAGGTAGGCAGACTGACAGGCAGGTAGGCAGACTGACAGGCAGGTAGGCAGACTAACAGGCAGGTAGGCAGACTGACAGGCAGGTAGGCAGACTTACAGGCAGGCAGGTAGACAGACTGACAGACAAGCAGACAGGCTAGATGGAGAAATTAACATGCATTATAAGCGACTGATAGATTGATGTGCAAGTTGGGCGAGTTCACTACAGGAACATTGAGAGAGAGAGAGAGAGAGAGAGAGAGAGAGAGAGAGAGAGAGAGGGAGACAATGGTGCTACTGGAGTATGTATATTATAGTTTGTGTTGGACCTTGCGATGAGAGGGTGTTGTAGGGTCCTGTTGTATATATAGCACCACCCCCTCCACCACCACCAACACCACCTCCATCACCACCACAATCACCATCACCATCAGCAGTAACTCGAGTGTCTCCCACAGGTTCTGATAGAAACGGAGGATGGTGAGGTGCAGGAATTTGAAATCGTGGAGAGCAAAGAAAAGCTGGGCACACTGAGGAAGGCTGTGCCCACCCTGCCCGTGCCCCTGGCGGTGTTATGCCTCATTCTCAACCTCATACCAGGCCTAGGTTAGTAGACTTTTGTGGAGGGGTTTAAGTAATGACGTAAGTTTATTCAGGTATAGGTACACATAAACAGTTACATAAATTATCACACATAGCACTTGTGTAGATTACCTAGTATAACCTAAAAAAAATCAATGACTTATTTCCACGGGGGTCTTTGTAATATCTTATTTAAACCTTAAAATTTAAAATAGCTAAGTAACACATTTATGTAAAATCAGGTACAATAAAAGATTAAGTGCTATACCCCTCCCTCCAACATAGATGGTATTGGTAATACAGCACCAGGGTATACCAACAGTATGTAAATAAGACACGTTTCATCCATTAGGGACTTTTATGAAGTTATCGGTGGCCGAAATGTTTTCACATTATTATTATTATTATTATTATTATAATCAAGGGGGAAGCACTAAACCCGTAGGATTATACAGCGCCTGGGGGGGGGGGATGTGGAAGGCATTCAGGCTTAATTCGGGGAACTGGAGCACAGATCCAATTCCCTAAATCAAGAGCCCCTCACCAACATCAAGGAACCTTCCCTGAGGGGTGTTTTCACAGTAAAATGTCGTAACCTGAATTGTGTCTTATTTACATGGATGGTATTTTCATGTCAAACGTAACGTCGAGTTTCCTATTTCGCTTCAGTTATGCTAGCATATATCTCTTATGTACGTTATCTTTATTATTATAAATCTATTTTTGTTGTTTTGGCTTTTAAGGGTTACTGGCGCAAGTTGTATTGAGCTTTGAGTGTTGGTTATTGCTGTTGTGTTTAAGGGCTACGACGGCTTCTTTTGTACAATACTTTCTCTAATACTCCTTATACAGAATAAAGTTCCTTGATGCCAGTGAGGGGCTCTTGATCTTAGGTGTATGAGACTGGGATCTGGGAGCCCTGCCAACCCCCGGAACTGCGATATTGAAAATTTTGTTGGATAAAATCTGAAATTTTGCAGGGTTGACTTCGGTAATGCATCAGTTATTTGTGTTTGTGTTAATTGCTTATTATGTAGTTTTCAGTTTTATCCAGACTGACAAATGTTGGTTATGATACTCATATTTTATAAATATTAGCATAATTATATGGAAATCAGGATATTTTAAAGTCAGGGCAAATTTCTCCCTCCCCCTTCCTTCACAGTGGAACCACCCCTAAGAGCCTGTGCTTTTGATGCAAGTAATTGCACTTTTTTCCCTTTGGATCGAACTTAATTGCCTCCCATTCCCTGCAGATGCATGGCCTCTACGAGTTTAGCTCTTCCCTCTAAATATAAAAATAGTATTTATCTCCTATATAGTACTAAGATGCACCCGCAACACCATTATAACACCTCTAGCACTAGTATAACACATACAACAGCAGTCTTACTCCTGTAACACCATTACAGCACCTCTAGCACTAGTTTAACACATACAACAGCAGTCTAACAACAGCAGCTCTCACTCTTGCAGGAACGTTCGTGTCAGGTCTAGCTGTGCTGTGCGGGTACCCTACACACTATGAGACCAAGAGTGAGGGTGTTTGCTGGAACATGGTGGCTGCCTTCTTGCAGGTGCTGCTCACCCCTATAGTAGTGGGAGTCATCTGGTCCCTGCAGCGAGGCGTCATACTCGTCCAGGAGTCATGTGAGTATATTTAGAAAGATTGGTGCTGGTCCAGGAGTCATGTGGGCTCTTATAGAAGGATAGGTGCTGGTCCAGGAGTTATGTGGGCTCTGGTAGATGGATAACTGCTGGTCTTGGACGGATATTCACAAGTATATGCACACCACCGGTATAACACCTGCAAATAGAGATTAATCTGTGTATATACACTGAGAGATATGCACCTCTCGATATATATATATATATATATATATATATATTATATATATATATATATATATATTATATATATATATATATTATATATATTATATATATATATATATATACTTTGGTGGGTGTGTATGTAAGCCCACACCACGGAGCTCACAAGCCCGCACCATGACAAGTGTTTTACTCTGGTAGAGGAAAGTAGGAGAAAGAGAGAGAGAGAGGAGTGGTGGGGGAGGAAAAAGAGGAGAGGGAGGGAAGAGAGGGGAAGTGATGGAAGTGAATGTCACAGACAGGTATACGAGGCCAGGAAAACCCACGACTGTCGTGGCGGCCACGTTTATGGGCAAATTGGATTTTTTATTCTCCTGGAAGTTGTCTGAATCTAGTCGGCGAGGCAGGCTCCAAACTTTTGTCATATATATATAAAAATTCACGCGGACAGTCTTGCTGTAAACAATGTTAATAATTAATAATTCTCATAAATCACGGTAAGGGCAGGGATTAAACTCGCGGTGAGTCGTAATGATTGAATATTGATTTTCATCTCTTCCTTTTTAGTACAAAAGAAGATTGACGATCGGAATGCAAAGGTGGATGAAGAGGCGTAGGATCCTGGCATAATTATAGTGCCAGAACTCACTGAAGGACTCCACCGAGCACCTCACCCCACCAGACGACATATTAGGACTGTAGGACCCTGATGTATACTGCAGCACTAAAATTTACTGAAGGGCGCCGAAGGACTCATCATTACGCTATAGGATATAGGAAGATCGTAATATTCTGTTCTCCAGTATAATGCCAGAGCACTGAAGGACGTCACAAGATACCACACCAGTGAAGATGGTAGGATTGTAGGACACTGGTCTCCATTACTTTGTCAGGATTTACTGAAGTGCGCTCCAGCACCTCCATTATACCAGAGTATATCACCTAACGTTGCGGCATGGAGGCCCTCAGAACACCAGGGGACACAGTGTAACTTAGCTAACACTGCTCCCTCCTTCCCTCACAGGATGGGTATATGGCGCATAATAATATACAATTATTAGAGGACATCACTGGAAAACTCCCCACTTCACAAGACATCATAACACGTCTTCAACACGGCACAGAGAATCAGGACAGAGATACGTAAAGACTTACCAGGAGAGGTTGCAAGACGCCAGGAGATTCTGCACGACTCCAGCAGGAGCTAAGAGATGCCAGTTAATTCTACAGTACTCCAGCAGATGCTGCTGTATAGCCCTTGTGGTTTAGCGCTTCTTTTTTATTATAATAATCCAGCAGACACTACGAGATACTATGAGGTGCTAGGAGAGTCTACAAGACGAGCAGACACTACAAGGTACTGTGAGGTGCTAGGAGATTCTACAAGACGCAGGGCTTTGCATAAACAATGTCTGAGCCTCGCTATACACAGAAACTTGTATCGTTCCCAGGTGCGAACTGTATCCTAGAAGTGTCATTGGTTCCCTTGGTATCGGTCAGTATCAAAGTCCCTTCACTAACTGCAACAGTTTCTCTCTTAAGAATTCGTTCACGTTTCCCACTCTTTCTGCCACGTTTTTAAACGTCCATGACGTAAGATAAAAAAGCTTCTAGCTATTTTTTTTCTTGACTTATTCATGACTAGTGGTAAACAGGTGAAAGTCAGCCTTAATGACCTTCTTGCACTCGATAAGCTTTAAACCTAGCAAACCAACGTACATGTAACTATTATTTAATATTTGACCTCTGACATTTTAAAAATTTTGACTTGGAACGAATTAACATACACCATGTGACCTAAGGCTAAATGTTATATCTAAGACCCTCATAATCTCGACTTCACAAACTTAATTAACTCTTAAACTTGTCTACCTTCTTTATTTAATTTCCGTCGTCATTATTATATTGATGGGGGCAAGTGCTAAAATTTTTGCTATAAGCTATGCGTACTAGGTAATCAGTATGCTGTATTTTTTAGTAAAGCATACATAATCTGGCATCATATTGTATGAGTATAATAAGATTCTGTGTGTGAATTTAAATTCACTTGATATTGACACGATTGATCTAATTAATATTTTATTATAAGTAGTATAGCGTGTTCCTGAAAGGTAAGTAAAGCTTCTTGAAGTGTTAGCTGTAGTCTTGTAAGAAATATTACCATAATTTTTATATGGGTGGAGGGGTAAGCCAGTGGAAGGCCTCGGTCAGATGACCAAAAGCTCCAGCTGTGGGTCATCATATGACTAAGACCCGCGTCAGGAAACACACACTGACAAACCTTACCTAACCTTTATAAGTTCCTCAAAAATACATACCCCCAGAGGCGTATGCCTCTCTGTATATTGATATATTGTTGTCTTTTTAAAAGATTAAAGTATTCTTGACTGGTGGTAAACAGGTAACGCACAGCCTTAATTAATGACCCTCGTGTACATGATACATAGTGCGTGCGACCAGCAGGAACAGTCTGGTTGATCAGACCTTGATCTACCAGGATGCAGACCAGCTTTACTACACAAACTTTGATAATCCACCTTTTAGCACTCCTCACGGCCCCTCCTAAATTGACCCCTATTGTCATCTCCATCCTTATCCTTAGATCCTGTATCAGTTCCTACACACAAGCGCTGTATGACCCTGGTGGGTTTAGCGCTTTTTTATTATAATGATAATGCACAGACTAACACGACAGGAAATCTTATTTCATGTTATTCAGTGCTAATCCCGAGACCTGGTGTGACCTGTGAGTATAGCCCGAGACCTGATATGACCTGTGAGTATGACTCGAGACCTGGAATGACCTGTGACATAACATTTAAGCTTGACCTTAACCATAAAAATTATTATTTATCTAGTGAAGTGAGTGTGTACTGCCACTTTGACTGACCTTCGACCTGTGACCTCAGAAGCTAATCTGAGAATTAACACAAATATCTGCAGTATAATAAGTGATCTTAGACTTAATAACGAACACTTCTTACCACTTAAATAACAGTTTTCTTGATAAATTAGACACATGTGCAACTCTTGGGTATCTTTATTGAGGAAACGTTTCGCCACACAGTGGCTTCATCAGTCCATACATAGGAGAAACTTGAAGAACAGGAGGATAATGAGGTAATCAGTCCCTCAACCTTGAGTCGATGTGGTCAGTCCATCAATCTTATAGCACTCGGGTACTATTTTCTATATATATATCGTATATACTTTTTTTTCCCTATACTGATTTTTTCAGAATTCTCAAAAAAAAAAAATTAAATCTCGTTGCTAATATTATTGTTGTTATTATTAGACTTATTCTCATTATTTATGATCATTTTGTGTATTAAAGTGAATTTACATTGAAATTATTACGTTAGGTGGCCTCTTTGTACATAAAAATATATGTCCTTTTTGTACGTGATCTGTAAATTGCAACTTGTTGGGTTTGTTCAACTTTAGTTAGTTGTTTGTACGTATAAAATATATGTAAATGGCATATTGATGCCGATAAAATGTTCAGAGGCATTTATGTACATTTATGACCTTAAAGGAAACGTTTAGCCACGAGTGGCGAAACGTTTCCTTTTTATGTCCTGAATTGACTCACGAAATCGTAATGACACGATTGCAAACAAGCCATACCACGGGTGGGATTTGAACCCGCGGTCAGAGAGTCACAAAACTCCAGACCGTCACGTTAGCCACTGAGCCAGCTAGCTTCAATACACCTAGTTGGACGAATCTTATTGAAGCTAGCTGGCCCAGTGGCTAACGCGACGGTCTGGAGTTTTGCGACTCTGATCGCGGGTTTAAATCCCGCCCGTGGTATGGTTTGTCCTGAACTGTCCGTACGTGGCTTTATCTACTTAAAACTCTTATGTCTAAAAATTTGAGGGGATCTATGTATTTATATATTCAAATTATGTGTGTATGTTTAAGAATTTGTGGAATTCTTTTTATATGAAAGACGTATATGTGGGTATTTTACTTATAGGAATGTTAGAGAAGAATTATACTCGTACGTAGAATTTTCTATAGTGTCCCCAGACTTTCTGTAATGATACTTGTTGATGATCAAAAGGCACAAAATATTTGTGTAATACATATTAGTATTATATTACCTTGTTTGGCTCTTAATTTATTCACCATAACTGTACAGGAGGCCTGTTCTAGGACCGGCCGCAGGGGCGTCGATCCCTTGAAATATTCTTCATCCATTATTCAGGGGTAGGTCATTTTGATGTTATATTCACGGGGGAAGGTTTAACTCACACTTGGTGGCGGCTGGTACAACCATATCACAGAAGTTCTGCTTGTAAAAGTCATCCTATTATAACTATCGTGGCTGAATGGTTGCAGCGCTGGCCCATGGTTCGAGTCCTGCCCAACCTTCTGTTTATTCATCGACAGTCGCTCATTACGATTTATTTTAGGTTCATAAGGGTCATACAACGCCTTGGAAAGGAGGGGCAGTCAGGTTTGATTCGAGGAAGAGGAGGGTAGCTCCAGTTCCTTTGAACAAAGGGCCCTGGGAAGTAATCAAGTACCTGGGTACTGGGAAGTAATCAAGTACCTGGGTACTGGGAAGTAATCAAGTACCTGGGTCCTGGGAATTAATCAAGTACCTGGGTGCTGGGATGTAATCAAGTACCTGGTTACTGGGAAGTAATCAAGTACCTGGGTACTGGGAAGTAATCAAGTACCTGGGTACTGGGAAGTAATCAAGTACCTGGTTACTGGGAAGTAATCAAGTACCTGGGTACTGGAAAGTAATTAAGTACCTGGGTACTGGGAAGTAATCAAGTACCTGGGTACTGGGAAGTAATCAAGTACCTGGGTACTGGAAAGTAATCAAGTACCTGGGTACTGGGAAGTAATCAAGTACCTGGGTACTGGGAAGTAATCAAGTACCTGGGTACTGGAAATTAATCAAGTACCTGGGTACTGGGAAGTAATCAAGTACCTAGGTACTGGGAAGTAATCAAGTACCTGGGTGCTGGGAAGTAATCAAGTACCTGGGTACTGGGAATTAATCAAGTACCTGGGTGCTGGGAAGTAATCAAGTACCTGGGTACTGGGAAGTAATCAAGTACCTGGGTACTGGGAAGTAATCAAGTACATGGTTACTGGGAAGTAATCAAGTACCTGGATACTGGAAAATAATCAAGTACCTGGGTACTGGGAAGTAATCAAGTACCTGGGTACTGGGAAGTAATCAAGTACCTGGGTACTGGGAAGTAATCAAGTACCTGGGTACTGGAAAGTAATCAAGTACCTGAGTACTGGGAAGTAATCAAGTACCTGGGTACTGGGAGGTAATCAAGTCCCTTTGTACTGGGAAGTAATCAAGTACCTGGGTACTGGGAATTAATCAAGTACCTGGGTACTGGGAAGTAATCAAGTATCTGGGTACTGGGAAGTAATCAAGTACCTGGGTACTGGGAAGTAATCAAGTACATGGGAACTGGGAAGTAATCAAGCACCTGGGTACTGGAAAGTAATCAAGTACCTGGGTACAGAAGTAATCAAGTACCTAGGTACTGGGAAGTAATCTAGTACCTGGGTACTGGGAAGTAATCAAGTACCTGGGTACTGGGAAGTAATCAAGTACCTGGGTACTGGGAAGTAATCAAGTACCTGGGTACTGGGAAGTAATCAAGCACCTGGGTACTGGGAGGTAATCAAGTACCTGGGTACTGGGAAGTAATCAAGTACCTGGGTACTGGGAGGTAATCAAGTACCTGGTACTGGAGGTAATCAAGTACCTGGTACTGGGAAGTAATCAAGTACCTGGGTACTGGGAGTAATCAAGTACCTGGGTACTGGGAAGGTAATCAAGTACTGGTTACTGGGAAATAATCAAGTACCTGGGTATTGGGAAGGTAATCAAGTACCTGGGTACTGGGAAATAATCAAGTACCTGGGTACTGGGAAGTAATCAAGTACCTGGGTACTGGGAGGTAATCAAGCACCTGGGTACTGGAAGGTAATCAAGTACCTGGGTACTGGGAAGTAATCAAGTACCTGGGTACTGGGAAGTAATCAAGTACCTGGGTACTGGGAGGCAATCAAGTACCTGGGTACTGGGAAGTAATCAAGTACCTGGGTACTGGGAAGTAATCAAGTACCTGGGTACTGGGAAGTAATCAAGTACCTGGGTACTGGGAGGTAATCAAGTACCTGGGTACTGGGAGGTAATCAAGTACCTGGGTACTGGGAAGTAATCAAGTACCTGGGTACTGGGAATAATCAAGTACCTGGTACTGGGAAGTAATCAAGTACCTGGGTACTGGGAGGTAATCAAGTACCTGGGTACTGGGAGTAATCAAGTACCTGGTACTGGGAAGTAATCAAGTACCTGGGTACTGGAAGTAATCAAGTACCTGGGTACTGGGAAGTAATCAAGTACCTGGGTACTGGGAGGTAATCAAGTACCTGGGTACTGGGAGGTAATCAAGTACCTGGGTACTGGGAAGTAATCAAGTACCTGGGTTCTGGGAAGTAATCAAGTACCTGGGTACTGGGAAGTAATCAAGTACCTGGGTACTGGGAGGCAATCAAGTACCTGGGTACTGGGAGGTAATCAAGTATCTGGGTACTGGGAAGTAATCAAGTACCTGGGTAGTGGGAAGTAATCAAGTACCTGGGTACTGGGAAGTAATCAAGTACCTGGGTACTGGGAAGTAATCAAGTACCTGGGTACTGGGAAGTAATCAAGTACCTGGGTACTGGGAAGTAATCAAGTACCTGGGTACTGGGAAATAATCAAAGTTTAATACAAGGAAAGGTACAGTAATGCCATTCCTTGGATCAAGAGCCCCTGTTAACACTTATTATATATAGTCACAACACTTGACAGAGTCCACCTTGCTGCTGATGTATTTGTGGTCATTATAAATAAAAAATATATATTGCACGTTAATATATCTAGCGATGTGTGTAGCAGTTGGCACCCCTGACCTACAACCTCCAGTAACACCCAGCCAATTGGTATTTTACCGAATTATGCGTAAAAAATGGCTGGACTAGGCTTCGCTCTATGACCCTTGTGGGTTTAGCGCTTAGTTTTGATTATAATAATAACTGAATAATGAATTAGTGAGTCAAATATTTGAAAAAAAAAAAACAGTTTGGTTGCCCACACTGTTCTATTGTAACTATTTTTGCGAAGATATATTTTTTTTTATACGATTTGTAGTTATGGACGGCAATTTTTTTTTCTATTAAAGATCATTTAATCCAAACGATTTATGAAATTCTCATTAAGTTTATAAAGAAACGAGAGAGGAGGGAACATGACAGTTGTCAGCTGTGTCAGCCCAGGTCAACACACATTGTGTTGTAGGTAAGTTTTATGTCATATTTGGCCTTATATCACGCCAAACACAGTATATATTACCTCTTTCTCACTCACTACAACTCGATTTACCATTGTAAGTAACTTTTATTATGTATAATGCACTTATCTAGGGTAATTATTACCTTCAAGGTAGTGGGGAGGTTTAACTAAGTTTGGTTTAAAAAACTCTTAAACACCAGGACTTACATACTAGAGAACGTTTCGGTCATGGAACTTGAAGTGATCAAAATCCCAGGACCGAAACGCTTTCAAATAAATATGTCCTAGTGTTTGCTTACATGTTTTTTTAAACCAATTTATCGGTAACAATTACCAAGTTTTATACCGTAAGTTTATTTAGGTACACATGAGTAGTTACACATATTTAGGTGATTACAGTTATCATACATAGTAACATGAATGAACAGAAAGGTGGACAGAGGCTCCAGCTCTGGTCCCAGTCCCACCGTCCACTTTTCTGTTTATTTGTCAAAAAAGTCTTTCATTACGACTTAAATTAAATTCATAATATGTTGCAAACAGTTGCAGACAGGCAATATTAACAATGTAAGATAAGCCACGGGAGGGGTGGAAATCTTTATCTCAAGTACTTTCACTTCTCAGTGCGTCATCAGGAGCTGTGCAATGTTGCAAGAGTAGCAATTGAAGAAATGAGGGGAAACAACCATACCACTGGTGGGGTTAGAGCCCGCTTACCACGGGGTTAGAGCCCGCTTACCACGGGGTTAGAGCCCGCTTACCACGGGGTTAGAGCCCGCTTACCACGGGTTAGAGCCGCTTACCACGGGTTAGAGCCCGCTTACACGGGGTTAGAGCCCGCTTACCACGGGGTTAGAGCCCGCTTACCACGGGGTTAGAGCCCGCTTACCACGGGGTTAGAGCCCGCTTACCACGGGGTTAGAGCCCGCTTACCACGGGGTTAGAGCCCGCTTACCACGGGGTTAGAGCCCGCTTACCACGGGGTTAGAGCCCGCTTACCACGGGGTTAGAGCCCGCTTACCACGGGGTTAGAGCCCGCTTACCACGGGGTTAGAGCCCGCTTACCACGGGGTTAGAGCCCGCTTACCACGGGGTTAGAGCCCGCTTACCACGGGGTTAGAGCCCGCTTACCACGGGGTTAGAGCCCGCTTACCACGGGGTTAGAGCCCGCTTACCACGGGGTTAGAGCCCTCTTACCACGGGGTTAGAGCCCGCTTACCACGGGGTTAGAACCGCTTCCACGGGGTTAGAGCCCGCTTACCACGGGGTTAGAGCCCGCTTACCACGGGGTTAGAGCCCGCTTACCACGGGGTTACCTGGAGTTTACCTGGAGAGAGTTCCGGGGGTCAACGCCCCCGCGGCCCGGTCTGTGACCAGGCCTCCTGGTGGATCAGAGCCTGATCAATCAGGCTGTTGCTGCTGGCTGCACACAAACCAACGTACGAGCCACAGCCCGGCTGATCAGGAACTGACTTTAGGTGCTTGTCCAGTGCCAGCTTGAAGACTGCCAGGGGTCTGTTGGTAATCCCCCTTATGTGTGCTGGGAGGCAGTTGAACAGTCTCGGGCCCCTGACACTTATTGTATGGTCTCTTAACGTGCTAGTGACACCCCTGCTTTTCATTGGGGGGATGGTGCATCGTCTACCAAGTCTTTTGCTTTCGTAGTGAGTGATTTTCGTGTGCAAGTTCGGTACTAGTCCCTCTAGGATTTTCCAGGTGTATATAATCATGTATCTCTCCCTTCTGCGTTCCAGGGAATACAGGTTTAGGAACCTCAAGCGCTCCCAGTAATTGAGGTGTTTTATCTCCGTTATGCGCGCCGTGAAAGTTCTCTGTACATTTTCTAGGTCGGCAATTTCACCTGCCTTGAAAGGTGCTGTTAGTGTGCAGCAATATTCCAGCCTAGATAGAACAAATGACCTGAAGAGTGTCATCATGGGCTCATCATAGAGCCCGCTTACCACGGGGTTAGAGCCCGCTTACCACGGGGTTAGAGCCCGCTTACCACGGGGTTAGAGCCCGCTTACCACGGGGTTAGAGCCCGCTTACCACGGGGTTAGAGCCCGCTTACCACGGGGTTAGAGCCCGCTTACCACGGGGTTAGAGCCCGCTTACCACAGGGTTAGAGCCCGCTTACCACGGGGTTAGAACCCGCTTACCACGGGGTTAGAACCCGCTTACCAATACACCCCTGGCTGTCTTCATGAAGGTACTGGACAAGCACCAAAAGTCAATACCTAACGCGCCAGGCGATGGTTCATATGTCGGTTTATGTGCAGCCAGCAGTAATAGCTTGGTTGATCAGGTCCTGATCCACATTAAGGCTTGGTCGTGGACCGGGCCGTGAGGGCATTGGCCCCAGAAACACTCTTAAGACACGAAGTTTCAACCCTTCCTCTTAATTCCCACAGCCATCTCTCTAGATTTATCAAACACAGTTTCCAACAAATTTCTCTGTTAAGTTGGGGTGTCTTCATTCCATAAAAGACCAGAAATGGAAAATGGCATGCACTATGGGTTATCTCACTGTGAAATGCACACTTCACAGTGTACAGTGGAACCTTTGTCTTCGTTTGCCCTGGTTTTCGTCGAATTTGATTTTCGATGATTTTTTTCATCAAAATAGTCCATTTTCATTCGTAACCTTGGTTTTTGTCCACCGTACTGAACCTGTCCGCACACCTCCGCCCAAACAAAGCATCTCTCACACACATTTGCAGCGCTGTATAGCCCTTGTGGTTTAGCGCTTCTTTTTTATTATAATAATAATCACACACATTCTGAGTCAGTCTGGCTTTGTTTCTTGTCGAGTGAACGTTACTCTGCGTTCAGACGAAACATTTTGTAATGATTTTTTTTGTGCATGTTTATTGAGTGCGACTGCTAAATAAGCCTCCATGGGGCCAATGAAAGTTCCAAGTGCCAGCCCTTTGATAAAGAAGGTGAGAAACATGATAGAATTCCAGAAAGAAATTGTAGAAAATTATGATTAAAGAGGGATTAAGAACATTTGTGCAAAGTGGAGTGAGGTGCAAAGTTTTGTGGAGAAATATCACCCTAACAAAACTGTTGCATGCCGTGTCTGCAACATGTTCAATGACAATGCCGTGTCCCATTTAGGCAAATCATAGAGACGCCAGAAACAGACCTCTCTGGACAGATTTTTTGTGCGACAGGGGTACAGTGACTCGAGCTGGCCCAAGTGTCTGTAAAAGACAAAGAAGGGAAGTAACCCTGGGTAGGGACTTGATGCCTGAAATCCTTATGGAAGGGGATTCCCCTTCCAAACAATAAACTCTCCTCCCTCTCCCTTCCTCGCTGTCTTCCATACGCCAACAAGTCTTCACTAAAGGTAAAACTGATTTGAATGTTCATTTATCCATTAAAATTAGTGCTTTATATGTATTTCTCATTGTTTTCTGTATGTAAAACTATAGTTATTCTCTATAAAATGTATTTTTTGTTAATATTTTTGGGTGTCTGGAACGGATTAATTGGATTTACATTATTTCATATGGGAAATATTGCTTTAGTTTTCATCGAATTTGGTTTTCGTCAGACTCTCTGGAATAAATAAAAATTGAAAACCAAGGTTCCACTGTATATACCCCTTGAGGTATTAAACTGTATATAGTACATTTAAACAGTCACCCCTCAGTGTACAGATATACCCCCTTGAGAGATTAAAATAAACTCAGAGTACATGTATATAAGCTGAGGTATACACTTCTGTGTGTTTGTGTGTGTGTTTGTGTGTGTGTTTGTGTGTGTGTTTGTGTGTGTTTGTGTGTGTGTTTGTGTGTGTTTGTGTGTGTGTTGTGTGTGTGTTTTGTGTGTGTGTTTGTGTGTGTGTTTGTGTGTGTGTTTGTGTGTGTGTTTGTGTGTGTGTTGTGTGTTTGTGTGTGTGTTTGTGTGTGTGTTTGTGTGTGTTTGTGTGTGTGTTTGTGTGTGTGTGTGTGTGTTTGTGTGTGTGTTTGTGTGTGTGTTGTGTGTGTGTTGTGTGTGTGTGTGTGTGTGTTTGTGTGTGTTTGTGTGTGTTTGTGTGTGTGTTTGTGTTTGTGTGTGTGTTTGTGTTTGTGTGTTGTGTTTGTGTGTGTGTTTGTGTGTGTGTTTGTGTGTGTGTTTGTGTGTGTGTTTTGTGTGTGTTTGTTTTGTGTGTGTTTGTTTGTTTGTGTGTGTGTTTGTGTTGTGTTGTGTGTGTTTGTGTGTGTTTGTGTGTGTTTGTGTGTGTTGTGTGTGTTGTGTGTGTGTGTGTTTGTGTGTGTGTTTGTGTGTGTGTGTTGTGTGTGTGTGTTTGTGTGTTTGTGTGTGTTTGTGTGTGTGTTGTGTGTGTGTGTTTGTGTTGTGTGTGTTGTGTGTGTGTGTGTTTGTGTGTGTGTGTTTGTGTGTGTTGTGTTTGTGTGTGTGTGTTTGTGTGTGTGTGTTTTGTGTGGTGTGTTTGTGTGTGTGTGTTTGTGTGTGTGTTTGGTGTTGTGTGTTTGTGTGTGTTTGTGTGTGTTGTTGTGTTTGTGTGTTTGTGTCGTGTTGTGTGTGTTTGTGGCGTGTTTGTGTGCGCGTTTTGGTGCGCGTTGTGTGCTGTGTGTGCGCGTGTGTGTGCGCGTGTGTGTGCGCGTGTGTGTGCGCATGTGTGTGCGCGTGTGCGTGCTTGTGTGCGTGTTTGTGTGTGTGCGTGTGTTTGTGTGTGTTTGTGTGTGTGTTTGTGTGTGTTTGTGTGTGTTTGTGTGTTTGTGTGTGTTTGTGTGTTTGTGTGTGTGTGTGTGTTTGTGTGTTTGTGTGTGTGTTTGTGTGTGTGTTTGTGTGTGTGTGTGTGTGTTTGTGTGTGTGTGTGTGTAAATATACTCAAAGCTTATTCCCTATTTTAGGAATTAAAGTACAGTGGACCCTCGGCTTACGCCTTTAATCCGTTCCAGAGAGGTAGCCTTAGCCGAATTAATTTTCCCCATAAGAAATACAATGGAAATCAAATTAATCCATTCCAGACACCCAAAAGTATTAAACAAAATAAT